TGTTTCGCTGCAGCGAGCCGTTTAGTGGAGAAAGTGAATACTGCTGAATACACATACTTTATAGAGATGCTGTATGTGAAACCAATGTGAGTTTGGAAAATTGCACAGTATTTTTCTATTTTAGTATACCTCAACAATGGAATTATGATCAGTGGAAATGGCCATGACACCTCTCCTTTAAACATCACTGATCCTTCCAGAATCACGGCCCTACATAAAATAACTAATTCATGTAGCTACATATCTAACATGGATATGGCTTTGCAAAAAAGTCAATTTCAAAAGTGTAGCAGTTGGTTATGACTTAAATAAATAACGGTGGTGACAAAACTCTGTTCTGATGTTCACTTTTTCATTGGAGGGTTAGGGTTAGGGTTAGAACACAGATTGACAGCTTGATGTTAAAGGAAATGTTTTGTTAACAAAGTGTTATGCAAGGTAAGTAACACACATTTCAAGAGAATGCATGTTGCAACTGATGGCTTTCCAAAGGCCTTGACATCTAAGCAGCTTCCTTCTGAAAAAGCACAATATAAAAACTCCAAACCACTCAAATGCAGCTCGTCTTTGCCACATGGTCCCACTACTCTTTTCAAACGCTGTAGCCGTGACAGGGGTCCACGTCAGGTTACATAATGACAGATGAGTTATCTCTGGAGAGCAGAGATAGGCTGTGTTAGCACTCGCCGTACGAGCACCTAGAGTATGAATATGAAGGGGAGCCGCCTCAGGCTACACTCAGACGGTCTACTTTCATATTCCTTCACTTGAGCCTAAGTGAAGCACAAAGCCCTTTGGATACATCTTTCTCATACCAAGGCCTAGGCACACTTTGTTAACATCAAACATGACGATCGTAGCTGCTGAATTCACACAGATAATTTGCAATGACATGTTTAACTATCAAGAATGCATCCAAATGTGGGCACTGCTGGATATTGGTAGGGAACATTTTCTTCTAAATGAGGCTTTTATTATTTAGATAGGGCAGAGTAAGAGTCTAAGAGGAACATGATGAGGCTTTTATTAAGAGGAG